ATGCAGTGTAATTTCGACTCAGAGGCACTTCTTTTCTCTCTCTCTTTCTCTCTCTCTCTCTCTGGCATGGTCGTATTAAAAAGGAGCTAATGCAATTAGTCCACCGACATGGGGGATTTCAATGAACGCTTCTATTCATTTGTTTTGTGATGCCGACTTATCGAGTAAGGTCTTTATTAAGAGTTCCAAGTCGGTTCTCCGCTTGATATGACGATCGCGATTTAATAAAGCCGTGCGCTTGTTACATATCAATTAAATAAAAAAATATTTTAAGAATTTGCGTGAGCGAACGCGTGACGCGCTTTTCTTAATGTTGTCCAGCTACAGAATCACTGGTTGCAGTCTGGGCTCTTGTGGCCGAGTATAACTCGTGCTTGTCTATTGAGACTGTGCACGTCCATTCTTTTTGGTTTCACCCTGCTGAAAATTGAGCTACGTGACATCGTTGTACTTTATAAAAATAGTTATGCCAGACATTGGCTCACAGTACAACGCTATTGTGAAAACACCAGCCTTCAACTAATTTGAAGGCAGGTGAGAAAATTTATTTAGCGCAATATTATTATTTAGTCACGTCCACGTCTTTTTAAGTGCAATAGAAAAAGATTTTGTGCCTCGACAAAAAGTTTATTTGTGAAAACGACAGGAGCCTGAGCCTCGCTAAAAACCTTTTTTGTCTAAAAAAACAATCTGTACGTAACTACCGACAAATTCTTCACACCAACAATCGATTGATAGATTGATATGTGGGGTTTAACGTCCCAAAACCACTATATGATTATGAGAGACGCCGTAGTGGAGGACTCCGGAAATTTAGACCACCTGGGGTTCTTTAACGTGCACCCAAATCTGAGCACACGGGCCTACAACATTTCCGCCTCCATCGGAAATGCAGCCGCCGCAGCCGGGATTCGAACCCGCGCCCTGCGGGTCAGCAGCCGAGTACCTTAGCCACTAGACACCAACAATCGATATGAGAGCACAACCATAAAAACATGTGCGATAATAACAACTGTAACTGCCACGCCTTTCCTAAGTCTCCATAGACCTGTAGAAATAGCCTGTTGTTATGGTCTCGTTTTTAATGTGACTGTATAGTCTATCACTGACATAAACACGCTGAGCCGGAGAACAGAAATGACAGTGTTCTAGGATAGCTGCATTATCTTAAACTTCATCGTACTCGTCCTCAATCAAGATGCGTGTTTAATGTTAGTTCCTTTATTAGTCCTTTTGCTGGGGACGTTCTTGCTTACATGTCCCAGTTATACACGTGATTCTGTTTTCTTAGTGCAATCGACTGCAACTTACCACGCCACTGCAAGTAAAAGAGCGAATATCTGGTTCAACTGGAAGCTAGCTGCCACTTCCTAGGTGCCGAAGAAACGATAGTAATCATCCTGATCAAAGGCGTTCAGAGCCCGTTGTTTAATTATTCGAAATTGAACTTGCGTACATGATTCAATAGTGCGTGCCAGCGTGAGTCTCTCAATGGAGATATTTATTGGTGCGCTCTCACGCATCACAGACGTATTATTTGAAGAGGCCGTTCCTATAAACTGTGGTACCGTGTTTTTGGCCTTGAATTATTTGCTGTATATGTCACCTACTTAAGTTACATGTTATGGCGACATATTATCTCGACAACATCAACTTTATTTTGTACTGTCACCAACATTTATTGCACTCTCCATGCAGTCATTCAAGAGCGAAACCAACCAACCTAATTTGACCTAGGCACAGCAAACAAGCTTCCCTGAAGTTCATTCGTGTTCATCGCCGCAGACGAATGTTGGTTAAGTGCGATACCAATATTAGAAGGAAAATCTAATTAGGTAAAACACCTGTCACAAATTGCTGGCGTCGCTCTAATGGCAGGGTGTGTGCAAAGAAGTCGCTTGGACGCGAGGTCAATCAGAACGTCAACACGCGCTCCCGAGATTTGCTTATCAGTGCGACAGCCCGAAGGCGCGAAGGAAAGTTGCGATGAGCGAGCTCAAGCCAGAAACGTCACTTCTTCCGCGGCTTTCGCCACAGGCTCACTGAAGCTCCCTTCGAAATCTCGAATGAAAATGAAACAGCTTATGAATTCCTGAATTAAATGCCCCACAAGTGCAGGAAAAAACTTGTACAGGAGGGACAAAGCGAAGCTTTGTGGAACACTGCATGTGGATTCATTCAGCACGTTCTATTGTAATTAAATTGCATGGTGTACAAGTGTAATTCGAATCGTGAGTTTTGATGAATATTGTTACTTCGGTTCAGCTCTAGCATGCGCGCACCGCGATTTGTGGTTTAGTTTAACGAAACGGAAGGACTTCGCTCTTAATAAGTTCTATCTCCGTTGGACACCCTACAATCTGTAAACTGACTGAAAAAATTCAAATATCTCTACCTTGTTCTCTACTACAGCCACTGGCAATGGCGCTATTTCTTCATCGTAATATTCCTATTTCGAAAATTTGTGTATAACTTCTGTTTAGGAATGCTGTAATTCTAAGACTTCGTCGTTACTTTTTCATTCCCACCTGAATCATTTGATTGCTGATTTCGCTTAACATTGGAGCAGCGAATCTGCCAAAGATAACAAAATCTTGTTTAATATTACTCAATAGTAAGACATTCTGTGGCCTGAATGAACGGAACGCACACTTTGAATAACTGTGTTGCTGCGTGAACCAGTTGGGGCTCTTAGCAGCTCATGTCACTTCACGAAGAAATTATCTTGTCCAGTCTTACGAGAGCCATAGCGATACCATAGTTGAAAGAATTTGGAAGTTGAATGCTCAATTTGGAGTTGAACTCTTTGAAAGTTGGTCTCTTTTTTTCGTGCACAAGCGATGCCAGTAACCCACACGTTTCATTTCAGTCAAACGTTCAGTTGTTTACAAGTCAACTTACAATGATCGATACAAAAGAAGTATGCGTATGAAATTCCTTAAGTCAGCGATTGCAAAAGGGTCCCTTGGTTAAACATGCAACAAGAGAAGGCATACAGTGTAAACAGGAAAAAATATCGGATATCATTCAAAAAACAAAAATAAATATCAAAACGTTACACAAATCATCCGTAAAATGAAACAACGGCAAGTGAGCAACTTTATACTGCAAAAAAAAAGGACCAAAGTGACGGTAAATCAAGCTCTGATAAAGAAATTAACTGCAAAAGATAAAAAGCTTTATATCATGCCTTATTGTGTTAAAAAAAATTGAGGTTTTAAGTGATAGCTGAAGGTGATTTTAAATTTTATGCGAGGAAAATAATGATGTCATTCTGCTTTAGTTAGTGTTACAGTGAGGTAGCAGAAAGTTAAGATTGTGTTAATATTTGCACAGTTAATATTATTAGTAACAATCAAAGTGTTCAGCATTTTCAAGCACACTTTTGCGCGGCAAATTCTATTGCGCGGCAGAAATTTAAGTCGTGACTTGCAACATATACGAGGTTCCGAAGAAGTCTTGACTATCCGAAGTTCTCACCACCCCGCAGCTCCTGCAATTTTTGTCGGCTACTATTGTCTATAGCAGAAATATCAGAATGGTTTCAGTCATTCAGAAATTATTCAAGTGTTGAACCACAGGTTTATGTTACAGAATTATGGTGTGGCCAAGGCCACCATCTCCTAAAACGTGTTTCATCCGAACAAACTCTGAACGAAGGTCATAAAGGAACGGAGGGAATAAAGGAAAGGATGCATCGATGCTCAACGAATTCGGCAAATCCCGCGTACGTTGGAAATCAACGTTATTCGAAACATGTGTTGGGAATGTGGCCATGTTGTAACTTTTTATTGCGCAACAATTTATGAAAGTAGGCCAAATATATAGAAAACTATTGCACGCAGAGGCATAAGTTGAATAACTGCAGACGTTTGTATAAACAGTTCTTTGCACTGGTCGACAATGCCAACAGGAACATGAGAATTTGCAACACCAGAATTGATAAGCTCATGTGAAGCGCTGGTGCACGCGAGATGGACACTCTGGACACCGATTCATAAGTACGCTTCACTAGATGGCACCTTAATACAATCCACGTTAACCCTACGTGATGGCTGTATCATAAGAGTAGATAGCTAGAACTGGAAACAAAATTGACGTATCATGAAGATTAGCGTCGATTTGAAAAGTACTTCCGAGACCTTGCTTGGTTCTGTGGTAGAATGCTTGATTGCCACAAAGAATACTAGGGTTCGATTCCTCTTGGGACCCTGACATTTATTATTTGCGTTCGTCGGGTCAACGTTACCAAAGTTAGCTTTTTTCTAAAACGTTCACGTGTTAAATACCCATGAGTGTTCTCGTCCTTCCATGGTAGATAGTAAGCGTCAATCACCTGTGGCACATAACTGCATACCAGTCACACATACCTGCCTGCGAATATGTGTGGATATGTGCCACAGTCTGGCAGAGAGTCTTGATGACGTAGGCGACGGGATTGTGACATTATTCGTGTCTTGTCCAGTGCGTCATGTTCGTAAAGTTATCTTACCCTTATCCTTACGAGAGCACCCAGACGTAAACAGATAGATAGATAGATAGATAGATAGATAGATAGATAGATAGATAGATAGATAGATAGATAGATAGATAGATAGATAGATAGATAGATAGATAGATAGATAGATAGATAGATAGATAGATAGATAGATAGATAGATAGATAGATAGATAGATAGATAGATAGATAGATAGATATCTGATTCCAAAAGGCTTGTAGTACGCCAAAAATACTTCGCATTTAATATTTTTGAGCTAGACGCCTAGAGTAAATATCTGAACTGAGAGATGAGCATAACGCACTTGTGTGAAAATGTAGTATCGGGTTTCCAGGTTCCGCGTTGTTACGCTGGCCCCTTTCCAATGTTCATGCGCCTAAACTTCTCGTGTTCTCAAACTTACCCTACAAAATACGTGAAAAGTTTCGTTAAACCCCCTCGGTCACTCAATCGATCACTCAATAAGTGAAAAGGTTCAATCTGTGTCGCTGTCTTACCGCAGGGTCTACTCGGACGGCAAGGCCGATAAATCTTCGAAGGGTTCTAAATCCGGCCAGTCGGACATGTCGGTCGACCAGGCGGTTCTCGACAAGCTGGAGGCAGGCTTCAAAAAGCTGCAAGATGCCAAGGACTGCAAGTCACTGCTCAAAAAGTATCTCACCAAAGAGATCTTTGACAAGCTCAAGACCCGTAAGACCGCCATGGGTGCCACCCTCCTGGACGTTATCCAGTCGGGTAAGTCGCTTAATTGAGCATAATTATTATATGTGCCTAAACAAGTATTCGCAGCCATCAGAGACTAGCTCACCACTTGAATCATGATGTACGAAGCATATAACAGCTCTAGAAGCGGGAAATACCCTAGGCTAGTAGAACAGTGAGCACAACATCAGAGAGAAGTGAGCACAAGATGGTTATATCGCGATTCATAAAGCTAAGGGTCAGAAGTCTACGTCATGCCGAGCAGATAACGTACTGAAAGAGAAAATACACTGCTCAAAAACTTGAATCCTCGTTTGAACTGCGTAAAGAAGTCCTCTAGTATTTATGTTTTCAAGTTTACGGAAATATGCGTTGAACAATTGTCAACTGCGCCCACATTTTCTATTATGCGAAAAAAAAAACAATCAGGAATCGCTCACTTAAATAGAACTTCATATACCTACAATCTAGCTCATTCAGCTTAAGTAACACAACGTTGCTTGGGACCCAAAGCATTCACAAAGCAACAGACTAGCTACTCTGCTGGCTGTGTCAATATTGTCTGTAAACCAAAGTTGAGCGTATTCTATTCTTTCTTTTTTTCGATGGATTCTCTCACGTTTCTTGGTGATAAAGAAATACTTGCCTTCGGTGTGCGCGTCCCCACATACGCTGTCGTCTGCATGCTTGGTGTTGATAAAGTGAGCACCAAAGGCGACTTTAGAGGGGCGTGGCAACACTTTTGCAGCATAGTCCGAAAACGTCGCCGATTGGTAGTTGAGGTTCCTGAGAACACGCGAGTCGAATGTAACAGCGTAGCACATGGCCGAAAAATTACAATAAATTCTCAGTCAGTTTAAAATTGCTTTATTTACACTCTCGACAAATGACGACAATATTTGTTCTGGTAGTGAAGTAATGTGTGGTTAATCCATTCTATGGCTGCTTAAAAAGTGTTGGAGGGCCCCTTTAGAGGCTGCTCACTTCTAACCGAGAGTATATTGGTACAGGAAAAAACATACGAAGTTTTGCACCCCAAAGTATCTTGCAGGTTTAATTGTTACTATAAGAAGCTTGTCACTTTTACTGCGCTGCAAACGCCAGCGTAGCAGCTTAAGCAAGGTGTTGTCTGAAAAACAATACTTCTCATTACTCAGTTATAAACCTGATTATTATCAGCAAGCTTCGAATCATGTAGACATAAAAATTTTCCATCAGCACCGCCACACTACAGTTACTTCAACTGAATAGCCATATTATCATTTTGATGCTCCCCTTTATTACAGCTGCAGAAGTCACATTTTGATGCATGCAAAATGCTAGAATACCACGCACTTTGCGATGTCAGTTCACCTTGAAGAAGCCGAAGGGATTTAAATATCTGGGCCCATCTACTACGCCACCTCTCACAGCCCAGAGTGATTCTAGATTGTTACGCCCAACAAACGAGCCAACTAAGCATTTTCTCCTTACATACGTTAGGCTGCATAGTGCAAGATTATTGGTTGCGTCACAACAGGCTTTCTGAATATATTCTCTGAAATTTACGCACCTGATGACGTGCATTATAGGTAAATTTTATGTACCGAATTATATTTATGATATCATACTCCCATTTTCCGGGGCATGGAAGTCATTTTATTCTCATGGCATGTCTGTTTTCGCGTTACATCCATTACAAGTATGCAAATACGACTATTTTCTTTTTTGAAAACGAATAGCACCCATTGCTTAGCGAAGTGCATTGGCGCTCTCACTTTTCTGAACGGGTTGGTTTCAGCTTTGGTCACCTCACTTTGTAAGCGCATAAAAGCGTTCACTGTTCTTCGCAGCGAATGCGCTAAACAGAACACTCGCACACATGCTGCGTGCGCGCGCACGCACACATAAATCATGCCTCTGCAGGGCTGATGGTTGCTTCCAGAGTAATTTATTTATGCTTTTTTGGGTCACATTTTGCGACGAAGCTTCTCTGTAAAGCAAATGGTATTTCCCAACGTCAGCTTCGAAGCTTCTTCATGTTGACCGAATCCTTACGGTTGCATAAACAGTGCTCGGCGTGTATTTGATGTTCCTGTCATCGCAGAAGCGCTACAAAAACACAGTAGTTTCTCTTTTGTAAAGCGTGCTTTGCCTTTTACATTTCATGCCTGTAACGAAGCCGAACCCATGAAGAAGCCTAGGCTTTAGTTTTTCTTTGACCTGTTCAAGGCAGCTTTTTTTTTTTTATTGCAGCATAACAACGTGAGGTCACATGACTTTTCAATTCATGGAATCACTTTTACTTTATACTAGCTCCCCGCACATCGTTTTATGATGCATTTTGTATGGGCAGACAGTGTTCCCGTGAATCCTCTTCTCAAAACGATGCTCTGCGGTGCCAGCAAGATTCGTTTAACAGTATTGCTTGGATGTCGAGCTCCAAAAATTTGAATTCCTTTTGATTCAAAATTGAATTTCTCAAAATTGCGTCAAAATGAAATAAAAACCCGCAGCTATGCCGCAAAGTCAAAGCAATGAATGCGATAGCAAGAAATTGGAAGGTCACGGCAGAATGGCCAGCAGATCGAAACGTGCCTCGCCTTTCTCACGAACAAGTGACGCACAAAGTGCACTCACAGGTACAGATGAACGCGAATAAGCGTCTCAATTGTTACTTTGATGTGTCTGAAAACGCGCTTATCTCGAAAACGAAGACTGTGCAGCGATCGCAGTGACCTTTGGGCACTCGGTAACTACAACAGAATCGTTCCGGTGAAAGCCTAAGGCCAGCCATGACGTACGATCTTCCCCACTGCGAGATAAGGACACGTGAATGACTGTCCACCCCCTCTTCAACGCGAGCCAATGTACGCGTGGGAAATGAGAGCGCGCCACCGCGTTGTGAGGATGTGGCGACTGCGCTAATTGGCCTTCTTGGTGGTAATTCTGAAAACACAATAGTTCACCTCGAGACGCCCGTCTCCAGCGGTAATTGATAGATATTAAAAGCTTACCGTCTGGACGTTCAAGGGCATGCTCCTCAATGGCTCAGTGGTTAACGCCTTGCAGTCGCGTTTCAGAGGTTGTATGTTCGATTTCGCGCCCTGGAGTCTTTTTCTGCATTATTTTTCTTCTCATTTTCACACATGTTGATACGCATACAGATACGGTGAGCGACGCCCCCACTGACGCCGATAGCCGGCGGCAAAATCCAGCCGAGCGTGTCTATAATATAGCTGTCTCAATAAAATAGGTGTATATGTCTGTATGTAATGCTTGTAAAGGTGATTTCACTGCAGTAATGGAGTGTGAAGGCACCAAAAAATTGCACTGTCGTGAAGCTTTGCTTAGAGGATCAACGGACATACTAGCATCACATCAATTCATAATATCTTTACAATTGAGAGCTTGTTATACCAGCTTATATGCTCTTAGTAAGTTTTAATATCTGTAACAAAGGTAGACGTTGATACCACGGGCTCAACTATTATCTCCGTCAGACGAAGGCACGAGGTCAGCATTCGAGCAGCATCATCTTGCTCCAGCTGAGAATATTTTAAGCTAACACCCACTATAGTTCAGCCTACACATTTCTTCTTTTCATCGCAAATGCTACCGCCTCAGCCAATATTCGACTCCCCGAGCTCTAGGTAAGCAGCCATGTATCTTAGCCTCTAGATCACCACGGCTGGGCCAGTGCTAGTCCTGTATACACCACGCTGGATCAGCAATACAAAATGTCAACGTAACCTCACAAATACAAAGAGACAAATTGCGATAACTATTTTGATTAATTGATATGTGGGGTTTAACGTCCCAAAACCACCATATGATTATGAGAGACGCCGTAGTGGAGGGCTCCGCAAATTTTGACCACCTGGGCGATAACTATTGTGACAACATTCATACCGTCCCCTTTTTCTCGCTGCTTGCAGGATCAAATCCCAGCTGTGACGGCTCCATTTTTGATGGCGGCGCAAATGATGTAGGCCCGTGTGCTCAGAATTTGATGCACGTTAAAGAAGCCCAGGTAGTCGACACTTCTTGAGCCCCCCACCATGGCGTCTCTCATAATCATAAGTGATTTCGGGGCATTAAACCCCACATATAAATAAAGTCTCTTTGTAGCATGTCCACCAAACTCACCTACACAAGTATGCTCGTAAGTGGCCAGTGTTACACGACATTGTTGCCAAGCCTAATGGTCCCTCGAAGGGCAGGTGAAATTAGGGTGATCTTAGGGAGCAGCTTTTGCATGTCGGCCTTGGAACTGACGAAAGGTTGGATTCCTTTAATGGTGGGTATGTCTGATTCAGATGACCTAATGTAACTTATGATGGCTTATAAAAGACGCCACAGTGAACGGAATGGGAATGGATATGAACCTTCATGTTACTCCAGGTATTTTCATGGGCAAATGTGTCGTATGTATGCAAGTGTGCCTGCGCTTATTATGCCTACATCTCTCTCACTCTCTCTCTCTCTCTCTATCTCTGTAAATACGTGCAAAAACACAAAATCTAAACTTCCACGTCTTGTTCAATTGGACAATGTGAGACATATGCAGTGCGGCACCACCAATGGCACGTGCGTACCAAGTGAAAAACGTAAACACAGCAGCGGGATTTTCGGTTGCCTCGTCGAGCCCTGCTGCCCTCGTTATCGGGAAGGGCTCCAAAAAGGGAGCTGTGGTTTAATATATACCATGGTGCAAGATGCGCGCACGCGTGTCTGGGCCCGCCACCGGGAGCACAGTGGCAGCCGCAGGTTGCGTGGGCTATTTCCGGGGCGAGGCCCTCTGTGCTCGCGGCCTCTCTCACTAAATTAAGTGCCGCGCACGCACAGACAAGCAGAAAAACGCGAAGAAGATGCGCGGTTTGGAGAGAGTGGTTTTGCCCAGAAAACGAGCGTGCCACCGAAGGCGGAAGATCCGTCAATACACAGCCGTTTCCGGAAAATCGGGTCCTCCCTCTCTTGCGCTAACCTCCCTCTCCTCAACATCGCCCCGTCGTAGTCTCGCTTCATGACGGCCTCTATTCCTCATAATCACA